GGGAATTAAAAGAAATTCAACCACTCTTTAACTTATTTTTTAAAAGAAATAGGTAAAATATTATTATATTCACATGAGGTATGTAGTGCCACACAAAAGATGAAATGTCATTTCCACACATTCCAGGCCTTGTGGAACTGTGGTTAAGTAAACTACTAATTAAACTAATGGTAGGTCTTTCCTTTCCTTATTTTTCTCTTCTCATACTTTTAGTGTTGTAGTGTGTAGTAGTTATTTTTCCACATTCTAGGTTATTTTCCAATTCTGTCTCCATTGGTCCTATTTCTGTCACTATTGAACTCCTTCTTTCTACTCTTTCATTCATATCGTCTTTTTACTAAACTCATACCTTTAATTAGCCAATCAATGCCCCAACTCTACAGTTGAATTGGGCTGGACTCAAATTTGCAATGTGCTAAAATGCTCAAAGTTAACTTTAAAGTTGTGTATACTGATACCAAGAATTTAAAGTTCACTAGATGACACAGGAATATAGATAAGTCACAACAAAACCATTCTTCTCCACCATCTCTTTATTATACGTATTCTTATTCCCAAACTGATAACAATTCTTACATATGGATTTAAAGGCAAAAATATACAAGATACAATCTAAGGGCTTTGTTAGATATGTGTTTATTGAACATATGTCAGTTTGGCTTTTACACATTCAAGAAACTGTTCTACTTAGATACACTCTTAGGCATTTTTTAATACATTAACTAAAGGGCTATTCAAAATCTTGATGCAGGTGTTTTTAAACTGTGGACCATGTGCAAAACTGTATTACAATGCAACTGCTATACTTTTATTCCTATTTGTATTATTTTATGCATTTAAAAACATTATCCTGAGAAGGGTTTTTGGCCATACCAGACTGCCAAAGGAGCCAATGTCACAAAAAAGGTTAGGAATTCCCAACTGATTCTGTATATTCATAAAGAATATTCATAAAGAAGTTTATTACAATAAAAATGTATCAGAATGTATTCACCTGATACATTTATATATATATATATTCATAATAATGTTAATATTGAAACTGTACTGGATTGATTCAATTTGATCACTCACCATTTTCAACCTTAAAAACTCTCTTAAGGCTCAACATGTAATGAAAAACTTGGCAGGAATAAATATATTATATAAATGTTGTGGTCTGTAAATTATAATGTGGATATGGATTTATACCAAAATTAATAGTGCAAAAGGTGGCTTTTAAGTTAAAGATACATCACTCAACATAGAGTATTTCATATTTGGTATTATAGTCATTTACTCTATTTTCAGTCATAATAAAAGATGAGGATTCCTTGTAAAAAAGGATATGTTCTGCAGAGTTAATCCAATATATCAGATAATTAAGATTCTATCTTGGATATCTCCTCTTCTATTTGGCATATAAAACTGGTTAAAAACTGGATTTCCTCTTGCTAAATTCAATTTAGTAATACATGACATGAACAAACAACAATGAATTAAAAGATTGTGCAAATTCAATTTCAGCCTACAAAACAGAGATATCATGTCTTAAAACAAACAAACCAAAAATGTTGGAGTACTACAAACATAATCTTCCCAGCAGCATAAATCAGTGTAAATGAGTTAGAAAAAAATTTTAAGTGCCCTATCTCAGAACTTACTTGGTAGTCACAAAGAGATAATATTTATGAGCAGCTAAAATACATTTGAATTTCATCTATTTTACCTTTAGCCTAGTTTCAAATGTCAAACCAATTCTTGTTGTCTAATTACTATAAATTGTGTCCATAGGAGACTAAATAGAATAAGATTCAATTTAATTTCTAAGACTAATTGATTTAAATCTTCAATTTAATTCTTTTGGTTATTAAGTATAAAAATTAGGTATAAAACAGTAAGTCTAATTTTTTAAATTATATAATATACAAAGTGCATGCATAGGAAAAATAGAATATGTGCAAAAAGTATTGATATAGTTACCTCTGAATGATTTTTTAAATTTCTTGTGAATACCTGTATCCCAAATTTCCAGAATGAACATATATTGCTTTTCTAATGAGAAAAAGGTACAATAAATATTATATGTGTGTTTGTATGACTTTTGTGCTGTTTCTGTTAGAGTGCTTTCTGCTGTAAGCAATAGAAATGTCAGACTAGACGTGGCATGTTTTCATTTCACGTTACAGGAAGTCCAGAAGAAAGCATGCAGAGTTGGTTAGTTCAGAGCTTTGAGTCATTTTCTCTGCTTCCTCTAGGCTTTAGTGATCAGAAACTACTTGTCACCAACTAGAAGTCTCAAAGGCACAAAGAAAGGGTGGCTTCTCACTATACATCTCTCTTTCCCAGAACCCTCAGCACTTCCTCTTAGATTGGCTAGAACTGGAGCACATGACCACCTCTAAACTATCACTAGCAAAGGAGAAAGGGATTACCCTAAACACCTTAAGGGTATGTTTTATCTTATGGAGAGCAGCACTCAATTTCCCTGAACATTTAGTCACCTGATAACTTTAAAAAAATATTTAGTTCTTTTTTTCCTCTCTCTTTTTCTTTTTTTGTGAGAGCAAGAGGGGAATGTTTTGGGGATCAGAAGACAGAAGTACCTGCTACAATCACCAATTACCTTCTCAAAATAAAATCAGGACTATGTATATCACAAAATTTAACAGCACACAATTTAAACACAAAGAATAAAGGCTAAATATAGTCTTGGTACATTGTAATTACACAATAAATGTAGCCCTAAGGGAAAAGAACAAACTTTATTATTTTTCACAATCTAAATCCGAACATTTAAACTCCTGTGATTGGAATCTTCATCTGATGCATAGAGGGTAACTTCCACCCAATTATTGACTTTCTTTTATAACTAGTCCACTGGATAAGAAATTTGCATAAGTTTTAAAAATTCTAACTATGACTTGAGATCAAGTGAATAATTGTCAAATTAATAATTTAAAAATGTGATTAAAACTAAAAAACTAAAAACTAAAAAAAAAAAAAAAATGTGGTAACCTGAAGTGGATTTCCCATGAAGCTAATGAAACTTAATTTCAAAGCTCCTCATTTAGCCGCCTCATGAGCCCTGGAAAAGAAGTCTTCCCATGGGTACATGTTTTTATAAAATTCATAAAAATAAGATATTATAATTGCAATAATTAAGACTATCTCTTTTCACTTTTACTTCCCCTCTGTCACACTCATGCCTCAGATGAGGTGGTGTTGGAATGGCCATGGATAGCTTTGGGATCCAGCCAAGGGGAACTTGAATTAGGTATATATTTACATTGAATCTAGAGGGATATTTTGTGGTTCTTGGTAACTTTCATGTGTAGTTAAGTCACTGCTAACCATCACAGTAAGCATCTAGGCATAGTACTAGATAAAATATTGTTACCCCCATACAGACTTACCTGGCATAGTGACAGGAAAGTGTAGGCCCATACATATCATGATATGTAGAGGTCATATCATGATATGGAGGTGTCTAGAGTATGGCACCAGAACTATTTGAGTAGTGGAGGAAAAGTAGGGTATAAAACGTACAGAAACCGGTCTACAGAAATTATTTTACTCTTTAGCATGTCCACCCTAAAGTGATTCCCAATAAATCACACCCCTGTATAAGGTACTCTTGCTTCCAACCATGCTTTACCTATGGAAAAGGTAATGGGATATCATTTCTTTGATTAAGCTATAAGGTAAAGGTGATAGGATGTTCCTCCCATGACTCTTATTACATTATATATGATTATCTTAGCTGACTGAGCCCGAAATTCTCCTGCTGCCCTTGAAGAAGCAAACAGCCACGCTGTGAACTACTTTTGCAGAGAGTATGTGGCAGGGAATTGTGGGCAGCCTCTAGGACCTGAGGGTAGCCTCTGGTGGACAGCCAATGAGAAGTTGGGACCCTCAGTCATACAGATGCAAGGAAACGAATTCTGCCAACAACCTGATAGCCTGCAAGTGGATTTGTCCTTAGTCAAGCCTACAGAGAAGAGCACAGCCTGGCCAACATCTTGATTACAGCCTGCTGACACCCGAAACAGAAGACCCAGTCTCAAGCCTGGGCTCCACACCCACAGAAACTGTGAGATAAATGTGTGTTGTTTCAAATCACTATGCTTGTGGTAATTTATTATGCAACAATGGAAAACTAATATACTTAGCATGTAAAATTGTAAGAAAAAGATTGGGTCCTCATCAAATCCTAGTTAAAATAGAAATTCTCTCCTTTCAGAAATATACTCAACAGTGCAGCATATACAATTATAAATGCCTACATTATTTTTTCTTTTTGACTGGAAATGTAAAATTTATCAGAATTCCTGTGTTTGTAGGGTACAAAACTGTAGCAGTACTAAAGCCAGTGAGTACATCTGTTTCATGCATCTCAATGTATGCGATTAAATGTTAGGATGTCATTACTTACAAAGAATTTTGAAATTGAAAGAAAAAATTTTAAACTATCACTATATAAAACATTATATTATAAAACATTGTTATACTAAGACATAATTTATGGGAAAAAGTACTTTAGAGTTATGTCAAGCAGTTAATGCTTAAAATTATTACTTTTTTTTTAAATTTTTTTAGATTTTGTGATGTTTGTAAAACCTTCAGGCCCCAGAAAACATGAATCCTTCTGATAGGAACTAAGCCTCTGCATTATTTCTAAGACCACTTCCCACTTTCCAAACTTATACACTAGTTCTGGTAAAAGGATTCAAATTTTATTTTCTTGCCAAATTCACTATCCCAGTGATCTCTTCAGAAAGCTAGACTTGCTAGAATGGGGTCCTGCCTTATTCCTACCATTCTAATGCCTCCTCTCCATTAGAATGGGACTGAAGTCTGCTCCTAAACCAACTTTAACTAAGGAGAACATGCTATTTTTATTTCACGCATCTCTGCTGCAAACTATATACTGGTCTGTATACCAAAATCTCTAATGCTCCCTACTTTTACAGATTTTTAATTACTATGCTCCACACACCTAATAGGATGTATCTTGCTGCACTCTCATCCACTGCTTTCTCTATTACTAGTTGATCTCTGCAACTAGTAATTATCTATCACTAAACATGCTGAATGTGTTCTACTTTCTAGGATGCACTTACCATATTCACTGATAGCTGGTTCCTCTACAACAATTGCTTGCCCCAATAGATGTAGTTCCCAGGAATACCTTCATAAGGTCTCCAAGTCCATTGCAGATAACAATCCCATGACAATCTATTTGACAAAATGCAACCACTATCAGAACAGCACTGTCAAATTCAATAGAAAACAGATCCCAAAGAAATAGAAATGCAGAAGCTGACAAAGATTTATCAGAGGAGCGCTCTCTCAACTTCCCACTGTTAAACATTCCTAAACTATATCCTGTTCTCTGTGTTCTCCTATTACAATGGAAGACTTGTCCCTGCTCCTCTTAAAAGCCAATTCCTCTCCTTGTGTTGTGGATACCATTCTCTCTCACCTTTCAAGGACATCACTTCTTCGGATATCCCCTTGTCCTCCTATACCATCAATCTCCCCCTTTCTACTAAATCATTCCCACTGCTGTATGAAAATGCTTTTTATCTTGCATCTTAAAAAAAAATCCTCCTCAGCCATATACTCAATTTCAGCTTCACCTCCCACAATTCATTTCTCTACTGTCCCTCCCAGAAAACTTCTCAAGAGTTGTCCACACCTGATAACTCCTCTTCCTTACTTCCCTTTTAATCTTCAACACCTGTCACCTTGTAGTCTGTCCTTACTACTCCAGTGAAACTCTAGTAAAGGTCACCAAAGATCACCCTACTATGAAAACTAATGGTGATTTCTCTGTTCTTGACTTACTGTAATTTTCATCAACAGTCAAACAATTGTTCATTCTCTCTGTGAGGAGCTCAGGTGAAGGAGGACTGGGCCATATCTTGGAGAATACTGGAGTGGCAGGAGTTGAAAGAGAAAGCTTAATTTGGGAGAGAGCACAAGACAAAGAGGTGGGTTGGGAAATTGTCAAGCACCAGGGAGCTACATGGAAGCTTAATTGATGTCTGAAGGCCATCCCTCTGTCTTCAAGTGAGTAAATAAGATTGCCGTCACAGAGGAGCCCCATTGTTGTTTTTCTTATCACTATCTGGTGAATGGCCTTCCATTTTCAGATATCAGCACAATATCCCTTAGCCATTCATGAAAACAGTAATCATCCTAAAACAAGGCTGAGCCCCCATCTGAATAACTATTCTGGGTAGAAATCCAATTTTCATCAGTCTAGTATATTTTTAATTCCACTGAAAAGAGGGGGTGGTAATTCCTTAACAAATTAAGAACAAAGCCCAGCATCAATACTTGAGTGGAACCGGACAGTGATGAATTCCTATACCAATTTGCTTCCCACTTGAGACACTCCTCTTAGCTCTGTGAAACCATCCCCTCCCAGTTTTTCTCCTATCTCACTAGGAGTTCTTTCTCAGTTTCATTTTTTCCTCTTTCTATTCTACCTAATGTTTATATGGGCTCAGATCTAGGGATTCTTGGTTTATCTGTCTACCCTCTCCCCCTTGGGGATATCACCCAGTACCCTGTGTGTGTGTGTGTGTGTGTGTGTGTGTGTGTGTGTGTATACACATATACAAACACATGCACATGTACACACACATATTTATATATATATTATTAAATTTATATATTTAGCTCAGACTTCTTTAAGCTACAAGTTCATAGATCCAAATTTATACTTGATTCCTCTTCATGTACATCTTAAACTCAATATATCTTTATTATGTTATAATGAACTCTTTATTTCTTCCCTAAATCACTTTCTCATTTATTCTTTCCATCTCAATGCTGGCACCAAAATATGCCTAACTTGTTCAAGCCAAAATCCAGGATTTATTCTTAATTTATCTCTCCATAGTATCTTATATCTAATCCATCAATAAGTTCAGTCTTCAAAACATTTTCCAAATCTATTTCTCTATTTCTATTGTCATTGACCTAGTCTAATCCAGCATCACCTCTCTCAACCTGATTAGAGCCACAAACTTCTCACCAAATTCCTCTTGCTGTGCTATAATCCATTCTCCACAATGCAGCCAGAATGCTCGTTTTAAATATAATTAAAATGTCACTAGTCTGCTTACTCTCTAATGACTCCACATCCCACTTAAAACAAAATCCAAATTTCTTATCTTGGTGTTCTTGAGCAACTTTGAATGATCAATTCTGACTTCAGGCTGAGAGGCTGTGGGACATTGCCAATGTTAACTTTTTTCCTTCTTCAGTAAAAGGATGGAATTAGTATAATATAATCATTGTCCCTAAAGAGTGACACAGCAAGACCCACACTGTGGTTCAAGGAAATATATGTGTGTGTGTATAATATATTTTTTATATATTTATAATTTTGTATATATATTTACATGTATATGCTAAGAAAAATGAAATATGTAAAACTCTGTAAAATTCTTTGAGATATTTCAGAGTGCAGATGTAATACAAGTTTGCTGCCTTAATGTTTCTATTCAGTAATGGAGAAGAATACTACCTTCATCAATTAGGATGCTTTAAGCTAGAAGAATGAGAAACCCAATTAAAAATGGCTTAAACAAAAATAAACTATTTCACATATCAAGCATTTCAGAGCTTAGCTGACTCAGAGTTCCGGGAAATTTAGGATTTTGGCATATGCACTATATGAGTTTTCTGATCTCAGGCTTGTCCATTTTGGCCAGGAAAAACCTGAAACGGCTGCAGGAGGCATCTCCTCACAGAGTAAGTCCAAAGACACAAAAGGGAATATTTCCATGATGTGTCTATTCTTATCAATAGGGAGAATCTTCTTCAGAAACCCATCCATAGGACTACCTCTCACTTATTATCCTGAACCGCCTAACATGTCAATGCCTAAACCAGTCAACTCTAAGGAGATTGGGATTTTGACTATTTTAGTCCAATCATAACTCAGTATCTAGGGCTAGGGAGAAATCTAGCCTCCCATGAAGCTCATGGCAGCCTTATGTCTGAACAAAATTGATATTCTGTTAACAAGAAAGAAGATAGATCTCTTACCAAGAAAGAAGGAGTGTGATGTCTGTCAACCTGTCTTTCAGCAATTTAAATGACTAAAAAGAAGCTGTGATTAGATGTCATCAATGACCATAATTTATGTTCAGTAGAAGTATTAAAAGTGATGGGAGCATCTCCCATTTTGAAGCAATCACCAGATCTATCCACGAAACTTGGTGGTAGGCAAATCTATTTCTTGCCTATTCCTTTCATCCAGAATTGCCCAACATTTGGAACTAAACATGAAATCTCACCAGCAGAGGGCTGAGGATTCATGCAGGTAATTTGCTGTTGTTGCCATTGTTACTTAATATTACCTTAATTGATAATAAAGAATCTTTAGAGTATGTTTATTCTAAACTTGTCATTTTATTAATTATTAAAACAGATCTCTCTCTTCCTACCTTATTGGAGATGATAACCTGGACTCAGTATCTACTCCCTCACCTTTGCTTCCTGTTTCTACCACCCTGCATTAAAGCATCCCTAATCACATTGGTGAGGTTAGTGTCCAGAATAGAAACAGCTGCTGGGAACTCTATTTCCTGGAATATAAAATCCAGCGTCCCACCCAAAGCCCAGTGATAAGAGGATTGTGAGAGATGACTCTTTCAATACCTTCTTCAGTGAGAATAGTGTTATCTAGTATGTCCCCACAAGAATGTTTATAGACCTACAACGAATTGTAAGTGATGAAGGTCTCTCTAGAATGCCGTCACTGGCAAAGATGTTGCAAATAGCTGTGCCTCTAGGCACTACACCATTGAAAAGGAAATCAGTGACCTAGTGTTGAACAGGATTCAGAAGCTAGCTGACCTGAGTGTAGGTTCAGGCTTTCTTGGATTTCTGCTGGTTGGTTGTAAAGTCAGTTTCTATTTCTCATTCCTGCTGATAGTTGATTATAGGAACAGTTCTCCATTTACCCAGCTTCCTAGTTTTTCTTAGCTGTATCTGAAGTCTTCAACTTCATCTACTCTGGAGTATTACGATTGTGATTTTATATGAGATAATGGGGCTGCCTATATTTGAGTAGAAACCTTAATTACAAGCACTCAGTATACAATAACCTTAACCATATTATCAACAGTATTGTATTCTCCATCACTGCTTCCCTCAGATTTTATGATGCCTTGCACATTTATGTGACAGAATTCCGTACTAACTTTTTCTCTATCTCCATACCTACCTCCCTCTGTCCACATATATCCCAGTTATCTTTGCTAGAAAAGCCAATCACAAACATTTTCTGTACCCAAAATTACTAATTCTTTTTCTGTTACCTTGCAATGGTAAATATAAGGCATGTCTAAAGGCAGGATCCAGAGTATAACATGACATCAGAGCCAAAAGGAATGGAACCGCAAATAAACTAAGCAACAGAAACAAAAGACTAACACAAAGATCGGTGCAGTCCAGAACGCAGTAAGGAAAGCCGTACTGAAAGGAGGTTTAGAGGTAGCCCAAAGAATGAGTTAGAGGAAGCAAGTTAGAGCAGCGCAAAATTTGGTCCTAGGTCTAGCAGCGCACAGATCACCAGGGAACTTGTCAGAAATGCAAATCCTCAGCCCCTACCCAAGCATACTGAAGCGTAAATGCTAGTGGGGGTCCAACAAGCTGCTTTAATAGGCAGGCCAGGAGATTCTGGTGTGTGCTGAAGTTTGATGCCTCCAGGCTAGAGGTGCTGGCTGCCAAACCAAAGATGAGAAAACAAGCTGAAGATGAGAAGGGAGATGATCTGAACGTCGTTTCAGTCAAGAAAAAAGATGTGAAATTGGATAGTATAGTTTGAGTCTATGGTGAACAGTGACTGTGGCTGAATTCATCTTTGGAGTAGGGCTCTGAGCATCCTCTTTCATAAAGGGGTTGAGGTGCCTTTATCATCCAATTAGGGCATATCCAGATGCATTTACAGCATATTGCCTAGAAAGACACAAAAACATGAAGTCCCACTTAGGGATTTTCAGGTTTGTCATCTGTTTTCTCCCAATATTTGAAGAAGGTTAAACTTAGGAGCATGATTTATTATATTTTATCTCTACTCACTGTTGCATAATCAGTTAAATCAAACAATAAAGTGCCTTGAAAAATATATTTCAATCGTTAATCTAAAATGACTTGTCTTTTTATTGCTCTATGGGCAATTTTTAAAAAATATTTCAGGAAAATGGGATATGCATATATCCTAATTCATAGACCACTTATGATGATAATTATTCACATTTTGAAAAGGTTTATTTCCTTCGCAAAGGAATTCCCTCTAGGTTCTTCTAAATAGTCTGTAATAATCAGCTTCAAGCCAGTTCAAATGTTATAGCAACATCTTTGGACAAAGAAGCCTGCTTCAAAACTCAGGAGGTTGGCTGCTTTCCAACCATGTTCATGAAGGCCTGACCTCAGGACGTAGTACTTCTTATTCTTTATGACAGTCACGGAACAGGTATTCCAATTGTTGGGATCTGGGTATAATATACTAGAGAAATACTCAACGAGGGATGAAGCTAGTCATGGCTCTGTACCTGTAATGATGTGAATTTATCCAAGACATTTAAACTCTTTACCTCTTTGACTCATCCTCTATAAAGCAATAGGGTTGTATACTGAGGTGACTGCTAAATATCCTTTCTGTGCTAATAGTGAATAACTTAGGAGAATGAAGTGAAAAATGCATGTAAATAGCCTGTGTAATTATAAAACACAATATAGATGTTGTTTATTATCTTTATAATTTATGATGTGAACTATTTAATTTGCAGAAATCCAATTTGTACATAAAATTTCAGGAAGATATTCATTACAATGTACACTTACATGATGATCAAGACAGGGCAATTCTAAATGTATTGTGGTATCCTGGATTGGATCCATACAGAAAAAAGAACATTAGTGAAAAACTGGTGAAATCCAGATAAAATATGTAGCTAGTTAATAGTATTGAACCAGTATTAATTTCTTAGTTTTGACAAATGGACCACCGTTATGTAAGATGTTATCGTTAGAGGAAGCTGAGTGAAGTATATACAGAAATTGTTTTACCTTTGCAAATTTTCTGTAAATCTAAAATTACCCAAAATAAAGATTTTAAAATAAAATTATTGTACCATGGCTTGAGAATGTAACTATGCATTCATACATACATACACACATATAAACACATGCAGCACAGAGACAACAGAAATGAAGGAAATCACAGAAATCAAGCCACCATATTTTTCAGCACTACACCAAAGCAACAAAAAAGGAGCTCTCTGGCATTAGAAAAGTTTTCCTGAAACCTGTGAGAAAGTAAAAATGAGCTTGGACTAAGAAAGTAAAAATCTGCTTTGCCATTCATCAGGTATAGATAATAAACACAGATAAAGCCAGCTGTAAAGTTAACAGAAAATAGTATTTCTCCCAAGAACATGCTGTAGTGTCACCAAAAAAACCCACTATGAGTAACTGCTGCTTTTTTTACTCACAGAGAACTCTTTTCTCTAAAATCATAGATTGTCAAAAAACTTGCTCTTTGAAATCTTTCATTAAGATTGAAATATCCCATTCTTGGCTAGATGATCTGAGTTATGTGATAGAGAAACAGCCTCTACTTCCAGAACTTCAGAAAAGGGGTTTGTGGACACATTCCTCACCTACTTCGACTCTGTAGCTACCAAAAACACAGGGTCCATGTTACAGTCCAGACCTAAGGTAGGCCCCCTTACATACATCCTTCCTTTCTTTTGAGTCTATCAAAATACTACTTCGTTTTATTTCTCCTTAATTCTACACTTCCCCAAATTCCTATAATAAACCTACCTTTTCCTTTGATGAGGCATCCCATGGTGGGCTCCATGGAATGTGGCCTCCCTCCTTGCAATGAGCCAGAAACCTGACATTCTTGGAATACAGTTTTGTTTCTGATGGATATAGTCTTATTGGACTAGGAAGCCTGCCTCATACTAAAAGTTAAAGAACAGTAATTTCACATAAAACTGAGCTGCCCAAAAATATCAAGTTCAAATACTATACAAAATTATTATCATAAAAGGGAGAATAGGGCTTCCCTGGTGGCGCAGTGGTTGAGAGTCCGCCTGCCGATGCAGGGGACACGGGTTCGTGCCCCGGTCCGGGAAGATCCCACATGCCGCGGAGCGGCTGGGCCCGTGAGCCATGGCCGCTGAGCCTGCGCGTCTGGAGCCTGTGCTCCGCAACGGGAGGGGCCACAACAATGAGAGGCCCGCGTACGGCAAAAAAAAAGAAAAAGAGAGAGAGAGAATAAGGAGTATAACATCATCATTACAGATAATGAAAGCATGGCCCAAAGATATGTCACAAAATAGATCAAAACCGAAAGTTACTATTTTTAAACTAGCTAAATGACATTAAGAAAATGATACAAGGTATGAAAGAACAACATGATTCAGAATTAGAAAAACACAATTCTATGGAGGGAATCCTTTCACACTGTATACATATATCAGATCATCACACTGCACACTTTAAATATCTTACAATTTTATTTGTCAATTATATCTTGAAAAAGCTGGGAAGAAAATAGAAAAACTCAAAAGTTAAGGTGACAGAACTCAGGAGAATTAGTAATAAAGAATTAATTACACACAACAGATTATGATTTTCCGTAAAGAACCTGAACCAATCCTTAGGTCAATGTTTTTCTCATCATTTTCGTTGTCTGATGCTCATTCTCTAGTAATTCTCCAGGAAGGGCTCATGAAAATGATAGTCTCATCAAATACTGATATCATATCAAGTGTTGATAGTAGTTTATACCCTTTGCACGTGAGAGTTAGTTTCGCTGGATATAAAATCCTTAGTGCATTCTTTGTCCCTTGAGTACCCAAAATATGTTGTTCTACTTTCTTCTGACAAAAGTTTCACTGTGAAAAGTCTAGTGATATTCCAATTTTCTTCCCCATTTTGCAAATGTAAGAATACATTTAAATCTGGGTATCTGTTATATTGTTTGTTTGAAATAATTCATACTATACTTCACCAAATCATGACCTCAGTTTTAAGAACACCATTATTTTCTGTACTGATAAAAAAGAAAAAAAAATACATTGCAATTTCAAGGAAGTTAAAATGTGGAAAAATGTGGGTCTTAGATAATATTCAGTATATTCATTTTCTATTGCTGTATAACAACTTACTATAAACATAGTGGCTTAAAACAACACAAATTTATTAGCTCACAGTTCTAAGGTCATAATTGTGGGCCCATCACAGCTGGGTTCTCTGCCCAGGGCCTCACAAAGTTGAAATCAAGGTACTAGCAGACCTGTTGTGATCTGGAACTTGGGGTTTTCTTCCAAGGTCATGTAGGTGTTGACCAAATTTAGTTCCTTGCAGCTGTAGGCCAAGGTCCCCTTCTCCTTATTGGCTGGAAGCTGGAGGCCACTGTAAGCCCCTAGAGGCCATTCCCATTCCTTTCTATGTGCCCCCTTCCCTTTTCGAAGCCAGCAATGGAGATTTTCCCTCCCATCAAATTCCTCCTCACACTCTGAATCTCCTTCTCCAGGAAAAGACCAGTCTCTTTTAAAGGTAGAGAGGCAATTTACAAATAAACAAACATACACCAGAAGGTGACAAATCTCAAAAAAGAAAAATTTTAAAGTGTACACTTGATTTTCCCTCAGTCTAGAATGCTCTTCTGCTAGATATTCACAGGACTCACATCACTTAGGTTTTTAGCTCAAATGTCACTTCTTCAAAGAGGCCACCTTTGACTACTACGTCTAAAATTGTCTCTGTCCTCCTCCCCAAGTCTCTTTTCTTCACCTTATAAAGTTTTCTTCATTGTATTTACTTTCTAATGTTATTTTTCATTTATTTTCCAATTTTTGCCTTCCCACAATGAGACTGATGAAATCAGGGATCACTGTATCACTATCACCTAATCATCATCTAGTCATTTGGCCCTAATGTTTAACAGGCATTCAATAAATATTTAAGAAGGAAAGAAACAGGGAAAAGAAATTAGGAGAGAAACTGGTGTTATTTGCGGAGCGAACCTTTCAAAGATATTTATATCTATTAATTTTTGAATAAAGAGAGAAGACAGGGGATTAGTCCAGTCCTAGAGCAGAACCTTGAAAGAATGGGACACAGACCAAGTTCATTTTCATGATTATGTAGAAAAGGTACACAACTTGATTGAGAGATCTGAATGATGGCATAGGTGAGCAATATGAAGTTTCCAGGTATTTGGAGATGTGCAAGTTGAAAAGAGAAGAGAGACACAAAGGATAATGCCCTTTTGCCTGGACCCTCTCTCCACACCAGAATGGGAAGAAATTCTAAGTAAAAATATCATACATTACAGATGATATAAATACATAGTGTCAAAGTATTTGCCAGTTTTTAAAATCCTACAGACATTTCTCCAAACATACACTTATTTAGAATGAAAGATAAATCGTAATATTATTGAGTCACACTAATTCTTGTTGTTTTCCAAGAAAAGTGAAAGGGGAGTCAATGGAAAGGGAATTAGATGAGAGGTCCTTACACATATGTTCAGGTACTTAATCTGGCAAGTCACAACAACCGTAAATTTCTGTCCCTCACAAATTGAAGGGGGCAACCTGGATGACATATGCCATTCATAGCTCATAAAATCACGATTCTATCAAATTTGTGACAGTGCTTGACACGTAGTAGACGTCCAAAATTATTTGTTAAACGTGTAACGTCTTAAAATGGAATCCCAGACTGGAAATCCGGAGCTACTTATTACTAGCTTTTGGGGTTTTTAAAAGTATAAAATGAAAGGGTTTCTTCTTCCTGCTATAAAACTCTTAAGGATTTTGCTACGCAATCCTATCACTTCGCTGGCCACTGGAATCCTCTGTGTTTGGTAGGTGACTCGTACCTTCAGTGTTTTGGTTCGGTTTACATCTGCCAGACGCCAGTCGCAACATTCCACTCCCTGCAATCACCTGCAGCAAAGCCCACTCCACGACCACACCCAAACCGGAAGCCAGGACGCCTCTGGGCTTGACGGGAAGGCGCCGCCGGGCTGCGCGCTCCCCCAGGCCCGCCCCCTCCGGTGACGTCACCGCCCGCCCCTTGACCTCACGGTCCTGCCCCCTTCCCTGCCTCCCAATATCCAGCAGCGGCTGCGTCTCAGGAGGCGATGGAGGGCTCTCAGCCGGTGGCAGCACGTCAGGGGGAAGAGGCGTCCTGCTCCTCCTGGGGGGCCGGCAGGTGAGAGGACGTGTGTGGGCGCGAAGAAGCAAGGCGTGGCGGGCAGGACCCAGAGCCCGGCTTTCTGCTTCTCCCCCTAAGGCGGGCAGGGAGTGCGCGAGAGGCCGCGGGGCTGGCCAGAGCCGGCCCTGGGCGGCTAGGGGAGCGCGCGGTGTGGGTGTGGCGGCGTGGGCTCCGGCCTCTGCGACTGCCGGCTTCATTGAGGAAAAAGCCCACTTATCGCCCCTTTCAGCGCTTTCTCAGTTCGGGTTGGGGTTTGCCATTCCTCCTTCCTCCCAGTCACCGGACGTGGAGGGGAGGGAGGGGCTCCGGCGGGGAGTTCTGGTCCGAGTCGCTCGGTGTGAGCTTCCCAGACCTGGTGCCGGACACCTTCCCTCCTTTCGATAAAGTGAAAGCTAAGCTCTGCTGTGCGCTGTCCTCCGCTGAGATCCTCTGAAAACTATTACCAGAGGGAACTTGGTAATAATGAATCAGTGGTAGTCAGGACACTCTGAGGCCTCTGTTGACTGCACTTTAAAAAGAAAGAAAGAAAGAAAAAGAAATCCAGGAAAAAAACACGAGTTACCCATTCTTATTTCCCAGTTGGTGTTGAGGTTCACGTCGTTTCCATTCTGGCAAAAATAGAGGGGAAATGTGCGTGTAGTTCCTGTTTCAATCATTTCGTAATTAATAAAGCGGATAGTTACATTCTGCCCACTACCAGAATACAATATGCCAAAGATAAAAGTGGCGCAGATTTGATTTTGAGCTAATGTGAGTGTTCACAAACCTGTAGCATTTTCACCAGCTTCAGACTGAAGGGATGCTTTTTGGTACCATGGTATTGCCTGCCATTGCCAGCATTGCCAAATTTACTTCGGAGATATTATGTAATACAAACAAAACCTTCCCTTATTTAAAGCATTTTTGATCGCCATGTAGACCTTATCATAAGAATGATTTTTGAAATATTCCAGTAAGGCAGAACTTTCTGAAAAGTAGGTGCCAGTTGTATCGTTAAGTGACAGAACTGGTTAGAATGTAATGCTCTACTCATGTTTACTTAAGAGCTTTACCCACTAGACTATTGCCCTCCATGCAAGGAAGATAGCTAGTGAAAGTATACCAGGGATAAGAAAGCTGTAACAAAAATTTTTGTTACAGTGCCAGGGTATATTGTGTATTTGTGTGTTTTTATTAGCTAGAAGCTGATATCACTTGATCATCTAATCAATATTTGATAACAGAAATAGTCACATTTTGATATTATATTTTCAAATACTTTAGCTTGTATAGCAACACCAGGCCTAGAAAATAAGTTTCCAAAACTGGATTTTGTGCTATCACGTTGTTTTTAGAATCCTGTGATTGATAATTAGAGCTTCCCAAAACCTAGAATGGATCACACTTTTGCCAAGATGATATTGATCTTAGCTGTCACCGTGGCTCAGGCCCAAATGTCCCAGCTGGTTCCCTCTGGCTAGGAACTATTTCTGTTTCCCAGTGTTTACCTATTATCATTTTTCTTTCTGTGCCATGCTGTGAAAAAATTGGAATGAACTGCGGTAAATGATACATCACTTTGTGTCTTGTTACACTAGTATGTTTAACCTTTTTTTAATTTTTAAAATTCATTTAACATATTTTTTTTTTTAGTGCTTTCTTCATGCCTACTGTGAGAGGCAATAGGCAGTATAATGTGGTTGTCAGGAGCTAGACTGATTAGATTCAGGGCTCTGCCATTTACCTGCTCTGTGACCATGGGCATATTATTTAAGTTAATCTCTGTCAGTCTCAGGTTTTTTCCTTTGTTCAATGGAGACAGTAATAGTGTCTATCTCATAAAATTGTTGAAAGGGTTAACTGAGTTAGTACATCTAAAGCACTTAAAGCAGTGTGTGACACATATTTGCTCTTGTTATTAAATGTCAGGTACTGTTTTAGGGATTTGGAATACAGTAGTGAATTCCTAATGGATCATATATTCTATAGGGGAAGGCAGATGATAGTTAATGATAATGAAAAAAATACATAATTAATGATTTGAAGAAAATACAGCAGGTTAACAAGTTAGGGAGCCACTTCGTTGATTGTGTTACTAAACCAAACTTGGTCTGCTTCCCCAATGCACACCAAAGCCAATCTCCTGGCACCAGGTAATGGTGAAGAAAAGTACAGTTTATTGCAGGGCCAAGCAAAGAGAATGGGCGGCTCATGCTCAGAAGACAGAAACTCCCCATTGGCTTTCAGGGAAGGGTTTTTAAAGACAGTCTGAGGGAGAGGGTTGTGGGGTGTGTGATCCATGCTCAGTTCTCTGATTGCTTGATGGTGATGTAACAGGGTAATGTTTTTGGAACCTCAATCATCAACCTTCTGGTTCCAGCTGATCAGCAGTTCAGCACACAGTTAACTTCGTCCACCTGGTGGGAGTTCTAGCATCTGCAAGACAACGAAAGGTCCTTGACTTTGTTTTATGGCTAAACTGTTATTACTTTGACTGCTTTCCTTTGTTTCTACATTTTCTCATCACTCTGATTAAATTTGCTCTTTGGAACTCGGGGAAAGCCTAGGAGGCTAAAACTTCTGTATAAACAAGCGGGGAGGGGAAATCTGTCCCAGGGAAGGCCCCACAGGGTCCTGCTCAGTTTCAGTGGGGTGATCTCAAATGGTCTGTGATGTTTGTGAAGCAATATTTTAATAGAGGCGTAAATGGTAAGAGTCAGTTTTTCAGAGATCTGAAGGAAGAACATTTGAAGCAAAGGGAATAGCGAGTATAAAAACACTGAAGTGATAGCAAGCCTGGCTTTTTGAGAACCATCAAGTAGGCCAGTGTAGTTGAAGATAGTGAACAAGAGGGAGAGGTGTGGGCGTTGAGGTTGGACAGGTAACTGGGAGACATACATAAAGGCCCTATTATGTATGCTAAGGTGTTTGAATTTTGTTCTAATGGTAAAGAAAACTTACTGAAGGATAATTCTAAGTTAGGGAGTAATGTCTGACTACATTCTAAACGTTTTAGCCTGTTAGATGGAAAATTAATTAAAGGGAAGGGCAATAGAAATAGAATAGTTTAGGAGGCCTTTGAAGTAGTTCAGATGAGATATGATGATGGTTTGGCCTGAGATTGTATTGACTGAAATGGTGAGAAGTGATCAGATGTGAGATCCCTTTTGAAGGTAGAACTAACAGCGCTCACAGATAGAGAAAATAAGGGAACAAGTAAAGATCCTTAGATTTTTGGCCAGAGCATGTGAGTAAATGGTGGCATCATTTGCTTGGTGGTCCCAAGTGAGTTGGGAAAGACTGGGGAAGAATAGATTAAGCAAGGGAAATTGAATTCTATTTGAGGCTTGTTATTTTTTTTTTGTTTTTTGTGGGATTTTTTTTTGTGGTACACAGGCCTCTCACTGTTGTCGCCTCTCCCATTGCGGAGCACAGGCTCCAAACGCGCAGGCTCCGCGGCCATGGCTCATGGGCCTAGCTGCTCCACGGCATGTGGGATCTTCCCGGACCGGGACACGAACCCGTGTCCCCTGCATCAGCAGGCGGACTCTCAACCACTGCGCCACCAGGGAAGCCCGAGGCTTGTTATGTTTGTGATACCAGTTAGACATCAGAATAGAGATATTGTTCTGGCAGATGCATAAAATCTGGAGGGCAGAGGAAAGGTCAAACATGTAGAAATAAGCTTAGATATCATTATATGGTAAATTCCGAGTGTGTATATTATAGAAGGTTTATGGGGCACTCAAATAAAATTGCTAAAATATAGATCCATCAGAATATATGTAGCATTGATAAACAACATGTGAGAATAAAGCAACCATGGGCTCTAATTTTATAATACAGGGTAGGCAGTCAGTGAATTTAATCTTGATCTATTTTTAAAATCTAAATAAAGTGGTAAATAATAAAATATATATCTGGTTTGTAAAACCTGTTTTAGTAACTAGTGAATCTGATCCCATGTATAATTGAATATGAGTATTACAGAATATGAGTATTGAATAGCCATACTGGCCCTTATAAGTTATGTTTTCTTTTTTCAGTGTGAATACAAATTTGCCCAATATGCCAACAGAATCTGTGGAGATTGATGATGCATTATACAGGTAAGAACATTATGGAAACTGAAACATTTTCCCCATTCATTGTTCTCCAGTAACGGAGTAGTTTTATTCAAAGACACCACTAGGCCTATGCAGAATTTTGTAATATATATTCTAAGAGTTCCACTCAAGTTAAAAATTCGGGTTTCTTTTTTTGTTTTTTTTTTTACTATAGGCTGAAAGCTTGAATAATATTTAAATCTTGGTTGTGTTAGGTTTAGGTGATATGACTAAAAATGATTTTGCTATCCACTACAAAATATACCTCTTGTTTCTGGACAGGAGTACATATTTATGTTCTTGATAGTGCAGGAGTCTCATGAAAGACAGTTCATTTCACTTTAGTTAGTTATACAGTAGCATCTAGAGACCATGTTAACTTCAGTGTGATCTCATTAACAACATTGCATGTTTGCACTGTATAAACAGTGGAGAAGTATTTTGTGATTGAAGAGCTGTGATTTGAATGGAATTTAGTGGGACTTTTTTTACCATATTTTTTCATGAAATAAAAATACTTTTTTCAAAATTAAAGAAAAATTAAAAACACATAAATTGCTGTCATTTCTAGTAGATACTTTGAGATGTTTGCATGAAAGATAATATACTCTCAGTTTAAAAGTTTTTAGATTTCCTCTATAACTAATCATGAAAAAATAAATTTTATGTAGGTAAATTTGGAACA